GCTTCTAGAAGGAAACTTCCTGCACGAGTATCCGCAAAGGCCTTGATAATGAGAATAAGGGCGTAACGGGTATATTTTGATCTATCTATCTATCTATCTATCTATATATATATATATCTCTCTCTCTCTATCTATCTATCTATCTATCTATCTTTCTATCTATATATATATATATGCATGCCTGCATGCATACATACACATATGAACATGTATGCATGTATGCATGTATACATGTATGCATGTAGCTATACGAGTACATATGGGCATCAAATGATAAGGCCCTGGATAGACTCGGCTTGGGAGTGGTGGTCGCGGCAGTGCTTTAGCTGTTGAGGTCTGAGTATTAAGTAGTAAGAGCATCCCAAACATGGCCGCCGCATCATGCAATAATTATACCGAAAGCAAACAGACAGGCGCTTATAAAGCCTGAAGACGAGGTCGTGAAATGGATGCGATCGGATGCCGGTTCCCATCCGCGACTTGGTTAGCTGGCACCCTTCCAAAACCCGGACCGCACGTTTCGTGGTTTACCTCACCCGATTTTTTGGCCTTCTGCTACTACTACTGCTACTACTACTGCTACTACTGCTACTACTACCACTGCCAACACCATGAAAAGCAGCAGCAGTAGCAGGAGTGTCACCAGGAGTATGAGCAAGAGCGGCAGTGCCAGCAGCAGAAAATCAGAAGTGGCGACAGCATGGCTGGGCGTCAACATCGCGATGTTTGAACGGATGGCCTTGCGAGTACTTCACGGGGCATTCTGCGGCCAATGCGGGGTGCAGCAACTTCCCAAGTTCTAGTCTTCGTATTTAGATATAGCGCTGTTAAGCCGGAATCCGTACATTCTTGACCAGTTTTTACTCGCAGTGCTCTTTTCTTGATGTTGCATTATTTAATTGCATATTTTCCTATACTATACTGTACTGCACTATACTATCCCACACTGTGCCGTGCTGTTCTACGTTTGCTCTTGAGGTCGGAAGCCTGCAAAAGGCTTACGAATCCTGCCGCGACACGCGCCGTCGCAGCTTGCTGCTTGCTCGGCTGCTCTTCCATGCGCAAGGCCCTTGACATAACTTAATGCCTGAAGTCCAGAGGGACCGTGACTTGTGTCCTAAACTCCTAAACTCCTAAACCCTAAAACCCTAAAGCCCTAAAGCCCTAAAGCCCTCAACCCTAAACCCTTAAACTCTAAACGTAAGCCCTTAACCCTACCCGCCTCGGAGGCGATGGTGAGAGCGACGAAGCGCGAGCCGTGCAACTCTCCCGCGAAGTCTTTGCAGCAGCTGGGGGTGCCAGCCAGGCCCGGTTTAGGGTTTAGGTGATGAATTCTTGTGTTGGGATTTCTGGGGCATTTTGTTTAAGGTGATTTGTTTTTTTGGGGGGTAGGGGCGTTTGGAAGTCAAGGTGCGAGTTGACGGATTTCGGGTTCGCTCTGCATCCTCATCCTGGCTTTCGACATCAGTGCCATATATTCGTCGCCAATATTGTCATGATTATGCTGCTCCTTACAAAAACCGTTTGCAAAAAACAGCAGCAGCAACATCACCAGCAACCAAAACCACCTACATTGCAGCACCACAAGTTGGTGGGTGCATGTAGGACTCCTGTTGGGAAGCATATATCTTTGGCATCATAATGGGGATACTAATGTAAACTAAACAGCCGGGCACCATGTCAGACATGTGCATCGCAATCGCCGGAAACGGTGCCACCCACCCTTATGGAGTCAGATTTCTAATCGTGATATATGAGGTGCTGTCATAAAACTCTATGCACCTGATTACTACAAACATCGAAGGCTACGACAACTGCGAGTAGCAGACGCAGCGCAAAACATCAAAAAAAATGGAGGGACGCAATAAGAAGCTCACTCTTGCTGCTAGGAGCCGGTGTCGTAGCGAGGATCATCGTCCCTGATTGTAGCGGTGGCAAGGGCATTCGCACCAACAAGCAACACTGTTAACAATGGCAGTGCTGGCAGTCGTTGGCAGAAAACAGGAAGCACTTGTGTGCACAGTGAACGCCACAGGAAAATTATGCCGATGAAAATCACCGTAGCCGTGGTAATGATGAGAATCATGATGGTGCTGAGAGTCATGGTCCGGATGGTAACCGTGCCGATATTCGTTGACAGCTGTCGCAATTAGAATGGACATAGGAAACTTTGGAATCGTGGCACAGCTGGTACGGATTAGCATGGCAAACGGCACCACCTATGATATTCATGGTGCTGCGACTGACGAAATTGGAATACGAAATGACCATAACTGCTAGAAGCACCTGAAGCCTCGAACGGCAGCTCTTTGCATCTGGGAGGAGGCTGGAAAGTTGAAGCTGCCTTCCGCGCAGCTGGTGCGCCGAGCCACCCTCAACCTTGCCACGGAGTTACGCCCCTCAGCTTACGTCTTCCTGTGGTTTAGAGTCAGTAGGGTCTCAAGCCTGCAACCTTGTAGCATAAGCCCCAAACCGCTATCTAAACCCTAAACCCTAAACCCTTAAACCCTAGAGACCAAAAGGCCGCACCAACATGAATTGTTGAAGCCGACCCGGCAGGGAAATGACTTCAAAGAAGTGTACCGTCAGGTGCTTTTGCCAGGCTCCCAGAAAAGCCGTAATATAAGGGCCTTAGTAAGTGCCTATACTATTTTTGGGGGTTCCTTATTGTAACTATAGTATACTATACTCCAAAACCCAGTCTACTGATTGAGGCCCCTACATTAAGCCCCGCAGACCAAACTCAAGGTTTAGGGTTTAAGGTTTAGGGCCTGATTCAGGGTTTAGGCTTTAGGGCCTGGTTTAGGGTTTAGGGTTTAGGGATTTGAGTTTAGGGCTTAGGGTTTGGAGCCCTGGGCTCCAACACCTAAAATGCCCCAAGACCTAAGCCCGACACAGTGACTTCGTAAACCCTAAACATGCCGAGCCTGAGTCCCATAGCATAGACCTTGAACCCTAAATCGCAACGCATAAGGCCTAAGCCATAAAAACCTAAAACCCCAAACCCTAAACCATAAACCCTAAGCCCTAAAACAACCTCTGAGAAGGTAGGATTGAACCAGGATCCCTTATTAGGGTTAAGTGCTTAGGGTTCAGGGTTTAGGGTTTAGGGTACCTCCATGACCCTGAAAGCTAAACCTCCCGGGTCCTCCAGGAACCTGAACCCTAAAACCCTAAAGCTCTGAAGCCCTAAAATCCGAAAGCCCTAAACCCTAAACCCTAAACCCCTAAACCCCTGAACCCCTTAAAGCCTCAAGCCCCTAAGGCCCACAGCCCAAGAGGTGCAGGGATGCTTTCCGATGCGGAGGCGCCGGGTGGAGCGGAGAGGGCACGGATGCAACTGGTGGGCCGCTAGAAGCTGATCTTAGTGGTTTTGGGGTTTAGGGATTTAGGGTTTAGGGTTAAGGGTTTAGGGTTTAGGGTTACGTGGTTTTGGGTTTTAGGGGTTTAGGGTTTAGGGTTTTGGGGTTTTGGGGTTTAGGGGTTTAGAGTTTTAGGGTTTTGGGGTTTTGGGGTGTAGGGGTTTGGGTTTGGCTTAGGGGGTTGAGGGTTTGGGGCTTCAGGGTTTAGGGTTTAGAGTTCAGGATTTAGTATTTGGGGTTTAGGGTTTGGGGTTTGGTATTTCGGGTTTAGGCCTTTTGGGGTGTAACCCCTAAAATTTATGTATATATAGAGATAGATAGATAGATAGATAGATAGATAGATAGATAGATAGTTGTGGTTATTCCCACAGATTAGTCTTTGGTTCTGCTAGGATACTGGACAAGTAAGGAATCATGTCGAGATCTTAGTAGTAACTATACTAACAGCATAGCATAAGTGTACTGTAGTATGCTACAGCAGGGTATAGTATGCTACGGTTATCTTTATCGCCCTGCATTTTTATTACAATAGGGTATTGTATGCTGAGATTAGACTGTACTATGATTGTGCTACAACATGCACCCAAACCCTGTTCCAATCATAAAGGCGCCTGTAGCATGATTGATTGATTAGGTGCCTCAATATGAGGGTCCTCTCCCCTACGACTGAAGGATCCCTCGCTGACTGTATGTTGGGGACTGTTCCTGAATTTGGGCGGTTTGGAGCCTCGCGCTGTAATCGGGTAGAGTGGGACGTGAATGTAGCACAGACCTAAAGTTTGGCTACAGGGCTCACTCGGAAAAACAGGTAAATGTATTATATTTTGGCTGTCATTGCGAGGATACCCGGCTCCATCTGAAATGGTGTTCAATGGGCTCCTGTTTTCGGCGTTTTTTCTTTGGGGCTTGGGGTTTAGGGGTTCAGGGTTTAGGGTTTACGCTTTCGGGCTGATCTGTTTCCACTTCCGTGGTGTTCAGGGCGTGGGGTTGTGTCATTGTCGGGGCTTGCTGACGGTTTATCGGGCTCCCCAGGAGTATTGGCGAGTAAGGTTTGGCGTTCTTCGTGGCCATTCTCAGGCAGGCAGGTTGGGATGCAGTTTGCGACTGAAGCCCTGACCAGCAACATGTTGAGCTTACTCTGCAAGGCTGTCTTTCCTTAAGCCTGGTCACAAGTTGTGCATCTCTGTGGCAACCACAACAAGCCTGGAAGCAGCAATGCCAATCGCCACGAGCCCTTCCGAGGTACAGGGGAGTTTTCAGATTGGCGTTCTGCACCTTGCCACGTCCACCTGTTGGAGGGGAGCCTTGGCAGGCTGTCCACAAACCATTAGGGCTGTAAGTGTAGAGTGCAGGGGTTTAGGGTTCAGGGTCTAGGGGATTAGGGTCGAGGGTTCAGGTTTAGCACTTTCTTTGCCCGACTTGGCAAGCATGGAACTTAAGCCTCATCTCTGATGCCCTAATCCAACTTTCACACTGGGCACAAGGCCATGAACCATCACCCAAGAAGCCCAGACCCAACAGTCAACCCTAGCCCAAGAGCCCAAACCTTAAAAAAAAAAACCATACCCTCGACTCTATCCCAGAATCCAGACCCTACACTTAAACCCTCAGCCTTAACTTAACCCTCAACCAACCAAAACCCGAGAAACCCTACCCTAAACCCTAAACCCTAAACCCTAAACCCTAGAAGCTCCAACTGCAAGGACGTTCTTCCTCAGCTTCCTCCAGGGAAGCTTCGCTACGGGCCGAAGCCTCGCGGCCGTCGCCGAGCGGGCTGCTGCGGCCCTGGTGCGGACGCTGGCACTTTGGCCGGTTCTGTGGGCGGGTCATGGTATAGCTTTTAGTTTATTTGTTTTTTGTTTTTTTTTTTTGGGTTCTTGGTTGGGGTCTAGGGTTTAGGGTTTAGGGGCTTTGGGTTTTGGATTTAGGGCCTTAGGGGCTGTGGGTAATTTGGGGTTGAAAACTTTCTGGCTTATGCTTTGGGAATCAGAGTGCGGGTTTCAGCATTAGGGGTTGGAGTCTGTCTACCGTTACGGCATATAAGGGTTTTGGTTTAGGGTTTGGGGCAAATGCACGGTATAAGCCAGGAGACCTAAAGGAATTGAAGTTCCACGACTCCCCTCCAAACCCTAAACCCTAAACCCTAAAAACCCTAAGCCCTAATCCACCCAAAGCCTAAAAAATCTGAACACGAATGGCTGCAGCCGCAGCCTTAAAACATGAACCTTCTGTTCTAGTAGCCATAGACCCCCAATTGCAATCGCCTACTGGTGATGCGAGGGATGCAGCATGGCTTCGCAAGGTCTAGTCTGTTTAGCCCCAAACCCTGAACCACACGGTTGATGATATCAATCCTGCATGATCCAGTATAAGGAGTATACCATAATTCCCATAGCTTAGGGTCCTTAAGGTAATGCAGGATTTATATCATCAACAGTAGAGACCTAAAGCCCTAAACCCGAAATTGGGAGGCCCCGACCGGAACCCGAAACCCTCAACCCAGATCCCTCAACCCTAAAACCTAAACCTTAAACCCTGAACCCTAAACCCGAAACCTTAAACCTAAACCCTAAACCGTAACCCTGATCCCAACATCCCTAAGCCGACACCCTTCCTAGACCCTAAAACCAACCTCTATGTTACCGTTTGACTCCGAACACTAACTTCCAACCCCCCCCCATACCCTATAGAGCCCATACAACCCTTCAAGGAACCCTGAAAGAAACCCTAAACCCTAAACCTCAAACCCTAAACCCAAACCCTACAACCGTAACGAAACCCTGAAAGGCACCCCCAAATACCCCAAACCCTAAAAGGACCCCCCCAAAAAATACCCCAAACCCTCAAAGGAGCCCCCAAACCCTAAAAATTGCTGAGACCAGCGCGACACGCCCTCCTCGAAGCGAGCGCTGCTTCCTTGAGCTGCCAAGAGGGCTCACTACCCCTTACCTGGACCCCCAAAGTATGTAGCCTACTTTGGGGGTTTAGGTACCCTCAAGGGACTCATATTTTGAGGCTGTTGGGCCACAGACCCTATTATATAGGGCTTTTGGGCTATTTTGATGCTAAGGGTACTCATATTAGAGGTTTGGGGTTTGGGGTTTTGGGTTTTGGGTTAAGGGTTTGAGGTTTACGGCTTAGGGGTTTAACGGTTTGGGGCTTAGGGTTAAAGGGTTTAAGGGCTTAGGGTTTAAGGTTTAGGGGTTAAGGGTTTGGGGCTTAGGGGTTAAAGGGTTTAAGGGTTTAGGTTGGACACCGCCCCCACTCAGTAACAGTTGAGTAATACTAATATGGACATACAAGGCCCTTGATCGCAGCCCAATTATAGACTGTTGCTGTATGGGGGGGGAGTACCCAAGGTTTGGGGTTAGGACTTAGGGATTTAAGGGCTTAAGGCTTAGGGTTTAAGGTGTAGGGTTGCATAATGTAGGGGCTCTAATAGTTAGAATAGGGTTTTGGGGGGTATACTCTACTATAGTTGTAGTACGGAACCCTAAAAAAAATATGTAGGTTTTTATTACGGCCCCTAGACTACTCCGTTCAACTGGGTTTGGGGGTCCGGCTCAGAGTTTAAGGGTTTAAGGGCTTAGGGGTTCAGGGTGTAACGGGGTTTAGGGTTTAAGCGTGTTTGGGGTTTGGGTTTTTAGGGTTTAGGGTTAGCCCTAAAGGGTGCAAGTGCCGAAGTAGTAAGGTTTTAGGTCTCCCATAACACAATGGAGAGGATGAGGCTTGGGAGTTTAGAGTTGCGGGCAGGGTCCATATGGCTTCTAAGGTTTATAGGGCTTTGGGCATAGGGTTTAGGGCTTAGGTTTGGGATTTCGGGATGTACTAACATAGTGCACACTTATGCCTTGAAGGGGCTCGCAGCGTGTAACCTCTTGACCAAAGCATATAATTAATTACTGTACATTACTGTACTATACTGTAAGGGTACATAAAGCTTCAGCCCGTAGCTGAAGACTAGACAGTGTAAGGATTGATCAGTCGATCCAGAGTTAATGAGAAAAGATGCGTAAGACATCTGAAGCTACGTACTGGACAGACAGAGCTTAAGTTATTTACCTACAGGGTCCATACATACTACTTTTATAAGGATTTTGAAATTCCAAAAACTATAATAAGAATGGTCTTTGGGATCTAGTTCCATCATGGTACCATATACGGACTCCCTTAGCTAAGTAAACCCTAAACCCTCAACCCGTGTTCTTGTTTTGGCACTGAAATCACAGAATTGGGCTCTCCAGGCTTTGCTCTGGGTGTCTGAAACTAAACCCTGGCATATGATATGAGGGTTCAGGGTCTATGTCGTTACAGCACCTCCCGCCAGACATGAAACGACAAAGTCCAATGCCGCCCAAATTTAGCATGAGCTGCCTTCAATTCCCCTAAATCCTAAACCCTAAACCCCTAAACCCTAAACCCAATTCCATTACTCGCGCCTTCAGAACCCAAGGAACATTCCGCACTTAAGGAGCCCATGAATGCCAGCTTTCAACACCATCATATAAACCCCATGCCAAGCCCAGGCGCAAAAGGGGGAAAGGGTTTAGGGTTTATGTAGTATGGTTTTCGGGCCCAAAAGCCCGAAAACATAAGTCCTTTGAGCCCTAGCATTGCATGACTCAAGTACCACCCAGGTTGTTTTCGCCTCATAAAGCCGTGGCAGATTTCAGAGATTCCACCAAGCTTTGATAGCCACCTCAAGCAAACCCTAATATAGGGGCCGGAATATTGAAAAAGAGGGTTTTGCGATCCTTATGAATATTGTTAAAATATAAGGAACCCTAGGAATAATATAGGAACTATTAAGGCCCCCATATTACACAAATCTTATGAATCCTATGATTAAAACACGTAAGCAAACGTTCTAAAGACGTATTCAAATGATTCAACACTGTTAAACCCTAAACTACCCTTACCCAGAGGCTCCATATATACTGCCATTATGGAATGAGGTCCAGAGGACCATCCGTATTATGGTTTGAGGGACCTACTTCCGTATTCGTAAATATCTGGACCCTTACACCCTTAACCCTGAACCCATATAGAACTCATATAGCAGCCTTCTATTATATCCCTTGTAGAATAATGGCAGTATAAACGGTGCCTCTGGGTCAACACTGTAAACACCTGCGAGGCCTCGGAAGGTTGCCAAGAGCTCGAAAATGCGCGGAAGCCGCTCGTGCGCTTGTCGAAAGGCCTGACGAAAGGCTCGGACCCCTATTTAAAACCCTAAACACTAGAACATTGAGGGAAGTAGGTTGAAGCTGTTGGGTCTTGAAGATGGCTTCTGCTTAGGCTTTTTGCTACAACTTACTGATGTGCTCCGGAAGATGTTTGTGGTGCCTAAAGCGCTTCTGTTTGGGTAGTTCGCTGAATTAGAGTCCCTTGTTAAGCAACCTCAAAGAATGCGACACACTTCCAAAAAGGACCCTGCGAGGGCCCTATTTTCGAGAACTGCCCATTTGGGCACTGTGGGTTGAGGTTGTCTAGAAGAGCTGAATGTCGAATGCTCGATCTCGGCCCTTGCAAGAGCCGTTTGATTCAGGCTGGAGGCTTCGATTTACCAGGATGAGGATGAGTTTTTCACAATGAAGCTCCTTACTTCCGGGTGCACGAAGGAGTAAGGGTTACTATAGGAATTAGAATAAGTTAAGGTCTTGGGGTCTGTTGTAACGTAAATATAAGAAGGAACCCCCCAAAACCCTATTCTAATTATCAAGGCCCCTATATTATGCTTCGAATCATCGTTTTGGGGACCTCATCCACTCCCGTGAACAAAAGCAATCCTGGCCTCTTCGCTTGAATCCTCGCCCAGTCGCATTGCCTCAGCTGGAAGCAAAAGACCAACTCGTGTGTGATCAGTACGACTTCAGATCCCCCCAAGCTTTAGGGTTTTAGGGTTTAG